ATGATGATGATGATGATGATGATGATGATGATGATGATGATGATGATGATGTGGAGGAGGAGGAGGACCAGTGTAGACCTAAGACGCATTAATGAGGTTGCCATAAACCCTCCCTCCAAGTTCCCTCTTCACAGGATCCGGGAAGTGGCCCATTGGAAGACGACCGTCCGATAGTCCTCAATACTTGCATTTTTTTGTTTAAAAAAACAGTCTCTGGGACTTCGACGCCGCGGTTCAACGTGACTGTTGCGTCCCGACAGTGCGCAATTCCTGGGACTCCAACACCGCGACTTAACGTGACTGCTGCGTACTGGCAGTCCTAAATCCCAAACCGTGCCAGAGAACCACTCCTGGGACTTCGACCGCTCGAGTGCTTGAAACTGTCGCGAAGTTCTAAGATGGATGTGCGCGGAGCTAAATCGAGATCCACATTTTGCAAGGGTCACCCTCCATCAGCTAAACCTGCCGCAAACTCTAAAACGAATGTGCGCGGCGCTCAGACGAGAGCAACATTGTGAAAACGACCAGCCCTCCATGCGTGAAGCTGTTGCACAGCTCTAGGACGAATGAGCGGAGCGCTGAGGCGAGAGCCACATTTTGAAAAGGAGCCACCCTCCATCAGTGAAACGGTGACAAGCGTTTAAGGTTCATGCGCGCTGCGCGAAGGCGAGAGCCACATCTTGAACACGACCTGCCCTCGATCCGTGAAACCGTTGCGAATTCAAAGCTTCAGGATCCTGATTGGCGAGGAATTCTCAGGCGAAACGCCCGGCCCGCCTTGCCGATACGTCTAGGGGTGCGACAGGGAGGAGTTAGTTACCCTCAAGGATAAGGGATGGAGGAGGAGGAGGAGGAGGAGGAGGAGGGAGGAAGGGAGGAGGAGGAAGAGGATGAGGAGGATGAACTGGAATGGCGGGACGGGGAGGGGGAGGGGGAGAAGGGGGAGGAGAGAGGAGGGGGCATGCACCCCCACGCCTTGCCCAACGACAGAAGGGTTGGGCGGCAGGCCGATCGCCAGCACAGCCGCGGCGTGTTCGAGGAGCTCCTCGCCAGGCACGAGGGCTGCCACGAGGCGCTGTTCGGCCTGGGGCGCGTCTGCGTCCTGGACCGCCAGTACGCGGAGGCGCGGGGCCGCCGCCGCGACAGCGCAGCGAGGGCGCCGGGCCGACGCGCGCCGGAGAGAGCGAGGAGCGGGGTGCCCCTGAGGCTCGGGCCCGGCCGCCGAGGCTCGACGGGGTCGAGTGCTGCGGCGGGCACGCGGGCCAGGCGGGCGGCAGGAGGGCGGGCGTCCGGGGGGCGGGAGGGCAGGAGGGGCAGGAGGGGCAGGAGGGGCAGGAGGGGCAGCAGGGGCAGGAGGGGCAGGAGGGCGGGCGTCCTGGGGGTGGGCGGCAGGAGGGCAGGAGGGGCAGGAGGGAGCCCCCTGCACGGCAGGCTATCCCGGGTGGGGTCCGAGCAGGCGGGGTCTCGCGGCCGCCGCGGCCGCCTCGCGGCAGCACCCTCCGCGCGGAGGGTGCGGAAGGTGCAGGTCGAGGGGGCCTCCCCTGAGGCCTGGGCGTGCTGCAGGCTGTTCCGTGCAGGGCGTGTTCGCCCCGCGTCGGGCCCCAAGGGGCCATCGCAGGTCGATGCGGCTCGGAGAGAGCCCCAGAAACATGGGGTGGTCCAAGGCTTTGGTGGCGATTCCTCGCGGCAGAGGTGCTCTCTCGTGGTGTCGCGATGTTCTGCGACGTCGGACCTCACGGGTCCCCGCCGCCTGCCGCATCGATGCCTCTCCCGGCCACTCCGACGCTGCTCCCCGGCCACCTCTGGCCGCCCGCCAGACCGATACAGTGAGCGGCTTGACTAAGGAACACTTGCTTTTCAAAAGGGGCTCGGTCGTTCCTTAGATTTTACATGCGTTATTTACAGTTCCTTATGCGTTATCTATTACTTATCGTTCCTTATGCGTTATTCCTTGGGATAAAAAGGGGCTTCGTTCCTTATTTATCGTTCCTTAGGTCAGGCCGATGGCTGTACGCTCCCCTGGAATTCCCGCTCCCAGAGGTGCGGGAGGGCTGGGGGAGAGAAGGGTGTTGTCGATGCCTTCCCTTCAGAGCCAGGGGCGCACGGACCCGGGTTTGGGTGCAGGATCCTGCAGGATCCTGCAAGATCTTCCAGGGCCTGACTGACCTGGGATGGCTTGGCCCGGGTCAGTAGATCCCCGAGGGGAGGGGAGGATGCTGTCGATGCCTTCCCTTTCTCCATCCCTCTGTGTTGTGCTAGGGCCACCACGAGGGCGCGAAATTAGTCGCGCTTCGCGGTCTGGGCGATTTCAGAGCGAGGCGCGAGTCCCTCACCCTGTTTTGGGGGGTGGGGGGCGGCGCGAAAGCGTGAAGATAATCGCGCTTCGCGGAGCGCGAAGCGCGAAGATAGTTGCTCTACAGTCGATCATCTGATTCAGAAACCTCCGTCCGAAAAGCCAGGCCAGCGTTTCTTACCAACTTGCCGGGGCCGAGTTTCTCGAGCACGTTCGGCCCTCCAGCGTGAACAACAGAACTTGGCCCATGTCCGTTTCAAGAAGCTTCCGGGAAGCTGGCCCAGACTTCTTAAATCATAGCTTTCTTGATCATCTTTGCGACTGTAGATGCTGTTGATGCCACCCCCTCCTCCATCTCTCCTGCCTGGTACAGCTTCGGGGCGGGGCCCGCCTCCACTCCCTCCGCTCCAGAGTCGCACCGCCGAGGGGAATCAGCGGCCAGACATAGATCGAGCACGGACTGCAGTCCCAGGCCAGCGTTTCATCTCAGGAGGGGAAGGAACTCACAGACACAAATGATCGTCGATCCCCAGGAGAATATGGGAAGTGGGGGGGGGAGACGAGAATTTAGAAAGTATGGGACGTGTGGGTAATCCTGGGATGTTGGTCACCTTATTTGTGTGTCCCTGGGCCCCTCTTACATAAACCCTCGGCCTCAGGAGTAGCTCCTCACCGTCGCGCCGCCATACATGTCGAGAGGGCGGCCCAGGCGTTTAGTGTCGGACCGTCGCGCCATTTACGATCCTGGAGGTCGAAGCTGATTGGGGGGCGCAGGAGGCGTGTGGTTTTCAGAAGTGGGGGTCTCACCACAGCGCCGTGCTCCTTCATCCTAAGCTTTCCCAGCTCTTACACGGGCGTTTTTTTGTAGACAGACAAAGTCGGGTCAGCGCTGGAGACTCGTCCACACTTGACGGTCGGAAGTTCAATCGCGTGCAACATTTTCACGGATGGAGAGGGTCTCCTTTTTGAAACGGGTCTCGCACATTTTTCCGTGGATGTGGGAGGGTTGCGTGGTTAAAGCGTAACGACAGCGTTTTCTTTCAAATTGATGCAGCGCGCAACGGCTTTCAGTGGATCTGTCCTTTGATGCCTGCGCCTCGTCGGGCTAGAAACATGGATGGTTGACGCGTTTGTAAACGAGGCTTTTGCTCGAATGCCAGGACAATGAGGCGCGGGAGCGAACTTGGGACGGGGGGGAGTATTGTAGCATCGTGGATACATTCAGTGTTTGCACTGTCCACCTCCCCATTGGACGAGGAGGAGGAGGAGGAGGAGGAGGAGGAGGAGGAGGAGGAGGAGGAGGAGGAGTGCGAGGAGGAGGAGGATGGTAAGGATGAGGAGAAGGAGGTGGACGAGGGGAAGGAGGAACCCGACGACGATGATCAACACGTGAATGAGGAGTTTGACGAGGTGGGCGGAGGGTGTGTGTGTGTGTGCGTGTGTGTGTGTGTGCGTGTGGGTGTGTGGGTGGAGGATCTGCATCATGCTCGATGTCGTCGTTCTCGTACGCGTCCTCGTCGTCCTCGTCGTCGTCCACGACGCGGGGGATAGCCTGGAGATGTTAGATAATTGCTGTCGTTTTCTTGACCTGTAGTGGGTGTCAGTCCTCGTCGACCTCGTTCGGCCGGGCGGCCAGTGGGCTGGACCGCCGGCGCGGGGAGGCGCGGATGGTGAGGAATTTCCATGCTGCTTCTGCTGCTCGTCCTGCTCCTCCTCCTCCTCCTCCTCCTCCTCCTCCCTTATCCTCCTCTGCCGTAGCCATTTTGGCTCAAGGGGCCTGCTCCTGAACTTCCAACCTCTCTCGAGGCGCCTGGTGGCCAGGCACCAAGGCCGGGAGCGGACGCGCTCCCCTGGCCCGCCGTGGCCGCGCTCCCCTGGCCCGCCGAGGCCGCGCTCTCCTCCCGCAGTGCCGTCCGAGGGCGGCGACTCGTGGCCCGTGTCTCTCATCCACTCCTCCCGCCTCCCCTGGAGGGATGAGTACTCCCCCGCCGGCGCCTGGAGGTACATGCTCGGAGGGTAAGCGGGACACCGAGCAGATCCTTGCCGCCATGCGTGATATGATTGCTCCTCTGTCGTCGTCAGTCGCAAGCCTGTCCAGTCAGTTGAATCTCGGCGTTCAGGAGATCAACCAACAGATTTTGGGAATCCAGGGTCAGATGATCGCCGCTGAGAAGAATTTCCAGACATTGCAGCAGGCGCACACTGAATTGGCCAAACAGACGGCTGCAAACTTCGAGCAGATGCGAGCGATCCATGAGCAGGCTCTTCTTCAGTTCATTCAGGACCGAGAGACCGCAGAATCCGCCATTCGTGAAGAGCTCAAGGGAATGATCCAGACGATGCGCGATGAGATTCAGGACCTTCGGAATGTCGTCGATCTGGGGACCCCGACACCTCGTGGGGATGATGAAAGACAAGTTCGTCGGAAGATCGACTCTGGTCTCGTGGGCAACCCCTCGCGTCTTGTGGTTCTTGGATTTCCTCGACCGCTGATGGAGAAAACGCTCCGCGAGGCTGTCCAGGGCATCCTCGCCCGCTGTGCTCCGTCTTCGACTCAGGGTTCGATTCAGGTCAAGGCCTACGATTGCAGTGAGAAGGTGTTCCTGGACTTTGATTCCAACCTGGAAGCCTCCACGTTCCACGGGATGGCATCGTCCGTGGGCGCGTTCCCCTTCCCGAACCCCGAGGGCGGTCCTGACTTGCAGCTACGGGTCCGACGTGATCTTCCCCCCCTCATCCAAGAAGCTGTTCTACTATCTTGGGAATATGCGCCAGCATGTCTCCAGAATCTTTGGGGCTGACAAGGTTGGGTCGACGGGGCTAGGAGGTGCGGTTTATGTGATGAAGGACAACGGAGTCCCCGTGCAGGTTGTAAAGATTTCTATTGTCGATGATGGCCCCACTGCGGGCGCCGTTCAGCGTGCCGTCGAGATCGATGGGTTGACGGAAGTGGGTGGGCAGCAGCGTGCGCAGTGTCTGCGCGCCAGGTTTGCAGAGATTCGCCCCTTTCGGTGAGTATCGGAACAGTTCGACAGGTGAGTGGGCGGTGGGGAGAAGTCCAGTGGGTTCGGCTACTGAGTGCTCGTCCGCCCTCCCTGCCAATGTTGGTGTACACCATGCAAGTGACAGTGCTTTATCCTTCTCGCCGCCTGCTGGGGAAGCTGGTGGTGTCTACCGTCCTGCCCGTCCCCGTCCCCCTGCCGTTGGAACACGCGCGCGCTCTTTGCCTCTCTCTCGTCTCGTTCATCTCGGTCACGTTCACGCTTCCTTCGGGCTAAGCAGCTGCTCTTACAGTATCAGGTCATGTGTTTACAGGAGACGCACGGATCTGAAGCGGACTTGGTTATCCTTCGGGACGAAATGCGGACTGGGCAATTTTTTGGGAGCTTTCTGGATGATCGGAACGCGGGTGGGGTGGTGACGTTCCTATCTTCGGATCTATGTGACTGTTTCGACTCGATCGCTCCGGTTACGGTCGTTCCTGGGCGGGTTTTACTCGTCCATGGTCGGGGACCTCGAGGCGACTTGGTCGTGGTCAATGTTCATATGCCTAACACGTGCGATGACGTCCATATCTATCATCAGTACTTACGCCTCATCACTGCCGCCCTTCCTGCGGCAGCGCATACTATGGTTGTCATTCTGGGAGACTGGAATTTCTGTACGATGGAGGATGGTAGGTCTCTTGTCTCAGGGGAGATTGGGCCTGGGGACCGTATGCAATGCGATGCATTTCAGGAACATTGTAGCCATTGGTGTGAATTATACCAGCCCGACCCGACCCGAAGAGATATTGTGAATCGGGAACTGAGGGGGTTGGCCAGATTAGA